TTGTACCTGCACAGCCAATAAGGAACTTCCATTTCCACAGCACTCAGATGGGGCTATCCTCTAGGCACTGGATATAAAACCACTACTTTTCACCTTCACTTGGTTACACTTTGTCACTAATGTTCTTTCTCCTACATGGAAGTGGTCTAAGAACTTATGATCAATACTTGTTTAGGGCTAATAGAATTATTACTTATTAGAATTAATGTTCCATGTCTCACTCATTTAGAAGTGTTAATTTCAAGAAGCTAAATGATAATTGCCGACACAAATAGCTAATAAGCCATTATCATGGAACGTTGGTTATTCTTCATACAAAGCACATAAGATCATTACTATGTAAAATAACCTGTATTAAAAAAATTAAGATGAATAGTTTTGGAGCTTTAGTCAACTACATAGTACTCCTGCCGTTATGAAAAAAATCACACTGACCACAGTAAATAAACTTCTAAGAATTCTGACAAGGTAGCATCACTGCATTTCACTTCCAGCCATCTAAGGTTGTGCCCAAGACACTAAGGCATGTTATTAGTATTTCTAAAGTCAATAGTGCCATCTAAAGGTCAACAGAATAGGTACAGTTCCTACAGAATACTGACAGAGAGATAGGTAAAGGTAAAGGTTTCTCTTGCTCGAAAGCCAGTCGAATCCGACTCTAGGGTTGCGGTGCTCATCTCAGTTTCCAAGCCGAAGAGCCAGCACTGTCCAAAGACTTCTCCGTGGTCATGTGGCTGGCGTGACTAAATGCCGAGGCGCACAGAACGCTGTTACCTTCCCACCAAAGTGGTACCTATTTATCTACTTGCAATTTCTTGCTTTCGAACTGCTAGGTTGGCAGGAGGTCAGAGTGATAGGTAGTAATTAATACTTAACATTTTTAATACTAATATATGTAGTTTAAAGACATTGCAGCCAAGTGAAGTGGAAGACGTTTAGCTATGGTTTACTCCTCACCCCAAAATGTTACGATGTGTCATCTTTTGGAACTGGCTGAAGAATATAAGGCAGTCTCCATTGTTTTTCTTACATAGTTCTCCAATTTTGTAACCTGGCTTTATTTCATTATCTGTTTTAAGTGCATTGTTCTTTAAGAGCCAGTGTGGTAGCAGTGAAAGTTTTGAACTAGGACCAAGTTTGAATCTCTGCTCTGCCACAGAAGCTTGCTGGGTGACCTTGGGCCAGTCACTTACTCTTAGCCTAACTTAGAAAGTGAGAAACTGGCTGTTGTATTTGAAAGAAGTAGAGCATTTGCATGCTGAGAGACATGACTTTCTGGTATAAAAAGGAAACCTAGGAAGATTTCTTAAAAGAACTCAGAAAGGAGAAAACCATCCCAGACTAGGGCAGATTCCCTTGAACAACTGCTTGAAGGAGCAAGACAAGCAGTAAAGTTTCCAGCTGCTCAAACACAGCACCACAACGCAGAAGTGCATCACACAGCAAGCTTAAACAGCAACTTGGGCTGCAGAGAAGTTTGATTGCCTCTCCTATTTTCCATGCAGCATTCATTCTGATACCACTCCACAGCACCTCCTCAAGTCAGACTTGCAAGACAACGTCCTAGTTAACATTAAAATCATAGGGAGGTCACAGAGAAACTCCCCAACTGGAAGAAATTAAGGATACAATATAACGGTCCACTGTGAAAGCCAAAGCAATAGTGGAACAACTTTGCTCCCTTAGCCAAGAAACCACTCTTGTGGAAATGTACCCCTATTGTTACAAAGTCTGACCTGACCCAAGTAGCAAAAAAGTGTGGCTCTAGTGCAGATGCCTCTGCCATCAAAGTTGGCAACAAGCAGAAATGTTAAGACTTAAACCCCCAAATTTCTTAAACTGTGCCAGAGATACTTTTATGCTACACCACTAACATTTTGCTTTATTAAAAAACTTGTAAACGTTCATAAATAGATTAGTAGCCAGTATTGCCTGCTTGTGTAGTATGAAAAAATCTTCTACTGCAGTGTACCCTCCAAGCTGAAAATGTATGAGCTTTGAACTATTGCATCTTTATCATATGCACACGCTTACTTTCTACACTGCAAGACTGTGCATAATTCTACCTGCTGTGACAGTGCAGGTGCCAATAAGAAACAGGACTTTAGTTACTATTGTCAATTGCCTCAGAAATCTTTGGGTTGAGATAATTTTTTTTTTTAAATGCCAGTATGAAGGTCCAAAGGAAAAAGGGGCATTACCCATGGAACAGAATATAAAGCAGAATCCTGATAGAGCAATGAACGATAGGCTAGGAAATTTCTGAGACACTGAGCATTCAGCATCTCTAGAAATATAGTACTTGATACTTAACATAAACCATAAGGCTTGTCCACTTCTGGATTGCTTGTAAGGTAGAACTCGAGGGCATCCAATGAAGCTGATGGGCTGTAGATTCCAGATCGACAAAAGGAAATACTTCTGTATACAGAGAGTAGTTAGAGTGTGGAATTTGTTGCCAGAGGATGTAGTGATGGGCCACAAGCATATTAGACAGCTTTAAAAAAGGATTAGATAGAGGATAGGCCTACCAGTGGCTACTAGCCATGGTGACTAAACGAAACCTTCATATTCAGAGGCAGTAAACCTCTGATCACCAGTGCCAGGATGCAACATCAGAGGAAGGCGTTAGTTTCTTTGCCCTGTTGCTGGATCTCCAGAGGAACTGGTTGGCCACTGTGTGAGACAGGATGCTGGACTAGATGGACCACTGTTCTGACCCAGCAAGTTTCTTCTTATGTTCTTATGCATTTCCTCATCAAAACAAGAACATTTCCTGAAGCGTTTCTCAAGCCATCTTGAGGAAATTCACTCTTGATTCCCATAAGAACCAAGCTGGGTGAAAACATACTTAAGAATTTTATGTGCAGTAGTTTACCTTTTGTGCGTTTACAGCTACATAGTGATATATGTTAAATTTCTTAAAGATCAGAACAATATAGAACAAGGCATGCACTATGCTGATTTATAAGGCTGCTCAGATACCATCTGTAATACATTTCTGATAAACTTAGCAAGGCAAAATCACTTGGCATTGTACACAATCTGAATTTTCAAAAGTACTCTGCAGGAGTTCAGAAGCATTTTGTTTCCTACACAGCTTATGCTACACAGCCTCTAATTTGGTTAGCATATCAAATTACTTTAATGTAGTATAAGTTTGCCTTGATGCTTCAAATTCTCATGAGAAATACATCTAGAACTTAAAAGACATTGGATAATCAATTCCCTCAAAGCTTCTGCAAAAAAGTATTCAAGAAGGGCTATAACAAAAGATAAAAGGAAGGAAAGCTTGAGATATAAGTATGAAAATATTGGTTCTCCGGATTCATTACTTATACCCACTGTTTATACCATTTTGTGCTTTTTTTGTATTAAAGAAGGTGCCAGTACTTGAATAAGGTTGCACCAATTCCTCACTCGGGACTTGGGAGAGCCTCCCCACCAAGTACTCTAAAGAATATTCAATAACCACCAGAAAGATTTTGCAAAGGAATTCATTACAGAAGCAGTAGTCCTGCCAAAAATAGCAATGCCTTGCTAGCAGACTAAGTTTATGGACTACTTAAGCAATGCACAAAACAAGCAGTTCTGCAGCTACCATGAGCCTCCGGAAATTTTAGATAGCTGTCAAATAGTTTCGGTTCTAAACAGAAATATGCCACCTTTGAAATACAGGACAACTTTGAGGTTCAGTTGTGAATCACCCTATACAGTAACGTCTGAACACCAAATTAAGTTTCTATGAGTTAACCCTTCAGAAACCAGTTAGCAGAACATGCACTGATAATGCTTTGGAAGGCAAGACATGGGGGGAAGGTACAGGCACTTTTAATCTAAATATAAAGTACTTACCAATTTGTTTTCTTGCATATATATTCGTTGTAGCTTTAGACAACCTTTAGCTATTACTATCATTCCTTCATCTGAAATCTTGTAGCATTGCCCAAAATGAATATCTTTCAGTTCTCTGCACTTGGCGCCCAGCTGCAGATGAAGTTAACATTACATTAATATACACACTGTATTTTCATTTGCATTGAATATACATTACACATTGAAATATTACAATGATACAGAAATAATTTAGATTCTACTTACGTTAACTAGGACTCCAAAACCATTTGAGTACTAAAAGCAGGATTTGCCCCAGGCAGAAAACAGCTACCTGTGATGACTGGTTGAACTCACTGGCATCTATATACACACGACTTAATTCTTTGACTTCTGGCTAAAATAGACTGATCCATTGTCTTTTTAACCCTTTTATGATGCTATTTTTTCCAAAACATTTTACATTATCTTCAAAGCCTTCAGTCAAAGCAGCAGCTTATAAATACAAATAAACACATTAATTTTGACACTAACAACCCAATCCTATGTAGGGTTCCCATTCCAAGGCAGGGGTGAGGGATCCCCTGCTTTTGGGGGGGCGGAGTTGTCTGCCGCTGGCCAGTGGGGGAAACCCTGCCCCCAAACAGCAACATCACATGGCAACATTGCCAATGATGCTCTGATTTGGGGGCAAACTCTGGTTTGAGGGCGATTTTACCATAGAACTTTGCCCTCAAACCAGATCGTCGCCGTGTGATGACCCCGATGTGATGACATCACTTCTATGTGACATCACTGCATCAGGGACATCACCGTCCAATGTCACTGTTTGGAGGCAGAGCCCCACCCCACTCCCAGAAGGCTCCCTCCCACCTCCCGCCAGTGCTTTGTGAAGACCTGGCAACCCAAATCCTATTATATCCTATGCATATTTTCTCAGAAATAATTCCCACCATGTACAACAGGCCTTACTCCTATATAAGCAAACACAAGATTGCAGCTTAACCAGTTTTAAAATTAAATGCTTAAATATCAAAAATATCTTCACTGCATAAAACTTACCTGCTTGAGTCCTTCATCAGTAAGCCTGTCTTGATTGCCCACGTGCACTTTCTGCAGCTGAGGGCACTGTGAGGCCACAGCAATTATGGATGTGTCAGACAACTGTTTACATCTGTAGGCAGTATACCTCAGAAGTCCAGGACATCTAAATGCGAGCACACATACTCCGGTATCTGATATATTACGGCAATCTGATATATTGATTTCAGTTATATTCTGACTTCTGGATGCAATTTTTTCCAGTAATTCATCAGTGACCTGTCAACAAAGTCCAGTTTGCAATATTAACATTCCCATAACCTGTTGTTTTGGAACATACACAAACACAGCCAAAGTCAGATGTGATACAAATTCTGGATTTCTGACCATGCTGGAAAGCATTTTCGTAACCAAACAGGACTCACCCAACACAACAGTAACTTCACTATGTCTAGTCTTTGTGCTGTCCAGAGCCACTTAAATTATGAAAGTTCCTAATGGTTTCCCAATGCTAATAATCCCAGTTCAATAACAGTATCTGCAGGATCATTTTAACAGCTGCACTGGGCTTAGTTTATTTTGTCTCCTGCCTCCATTCCATCTCTAAAATTCACCCCCCCCCAAAAAAAAACAACCCCACACCTCTGCTCAACACAACTGCCACTAGTAGGATATTGGGTTAAGACCCAATAAGGTATGTACTGGTTTTGACATCTAACGCTAAAAGCTGATACTCCATTGCTCACAACAGCAATCTGATCAACACTGTGGTCATCTATGGGGTATATCCCCAGAAGGGCACTATGCTCTGGAGAGAAGAACTGATGATCCCTTGCCAGAAAGTCTTTCAGCTGTCATCAACCAGAACCAGGACCTTTTTGGCCTTGGTGCCAGGCTGGAGGAACTCTCTGCCAAATGACATCCACACCCTCAGTTTCAGAGGGCTTGTATGACAGAGATATTCTGCCAGGTCTATGGTTGAGGGCAGCAACAGTTTCCACCAAGCCTGGCTTCTTCCCAGGTCTATGGTTGAGGGCAGCAACAGTTTCCACCAAGCCTGGCTTCTGCCTTTCTGTTCCCCCCACACACACCCAGGGTTAGGACATAACTTGATTCTTTAAATGCCATTTGTAATAGTTCAGAATTGTTTACTGTTTTAAATTGTTTTAGTTTGATTGTAATGTTTTACTGAAATGTTGTTCACCATGCTGAGCCCTAGACATAGCGGAGGGTGATTTATAAATCAAATAAATAATAAATAAGAGGGATCATCATAGATTATGTAATTATAATTCTCCAATTACACCCCATCCCACACAATACTGTTGTAATCACAAAGGTTAACAATACATGAGGACAGCACAGCCTTCTTGAAGAGCATTTCTCACCAAGATACTGTAGCGACCTTCAGCCTAAAGCCAGGCATTGAGGAAAGTCATCCCATTTCATCTATGAAAACTCAACAGGATATGGGCCTACAAGTACCACTTTTACCAGCAAGAAAACAGGAATAATTTTGAATTACCAAACAACATTGTTTTTCTTTTACTTCATTCATACCTGCTGACGGCTGCTGAGATCCAACTGTTTCCAGAACTGGAAATCTAAACAGAGATCACGCCAATATTTACAAACTAATGATGCTGAAAGACATCGCTCATTCAAGGATAAGTTGGAAAATATCTATGGAAAGAAAAAGGATAGTTATAAGAAAGTCAGATATCCTGAAATCATTTCTACTAACATATCCCTCTAGTTACTGTATACCTGAAGACTAATCTTTGCATTTACATCTTATATGCATCCCTAACAGTAAATCCACTTACTGCCAACATCATAACCATTATAAGAAGCATTTAATGTACATAGCTACAATCAAGCTATACCTTAGGAAGCATGTCACACCCACACAGATGAACAGCATTATGCTGTGTTTGAGGCTTCGAATCTTGGTCATCAACTAACAGTTGTAGAAGACCATTGTAATAAGTGAGGGACAAATGGAAGAGAAGCACTTCCATCAAAACTACACAGCGGCCTACCGGCACATTCTGCTACCTCATGGATGCGATCAGACAGCGTGCTGGGAGCGGTTTAAATTGCTCCGGTCCCGATGTGTGTTTTTTTTAACCTGGAGAATTGCTATCACACTCACCTCCTTGTTCTGGATCGCTGCGCAGCCACATCGCTCCCCACCGTCCACACGCGGGAGCGTGCGTCAGTGTGTTTTCTCTCTCTCACACAGTTTGGGCATGCGCACAGGCATTTTTGCACATGCGCAGAACAGCAATTTCCACTTCCACCCAACTGCTGTAACACTTCCCTTTAAACTTTAAAGGAACACTTCCCTTTAAACTTTTACCCCGAAACTGGCCTCCGTGAGATCCCGACCTTGTCTAACCAACAAAACTAGGCACCAATTAAACATTGTTTTTAATAACACAGGAGTGGAGCTCCACCTGTGCGCATACTGCCAATGCTAAAATAAAATGGCAGGCGAAGAGCGGAAGCCTTGGGCTTCCTAGTGGAAGTAGCTCAACACCACAGGAGCGATCAGGCGTCAGAAAAGTGCGGCTAGAAGCGGAGAATCAGGACCTGGTAACAAAATACTCTGCTTTAAAGGGGGTTTGAGCCGGAAAGCAGCAGCTGGGACGGTGCGCGTGTGAACGTGGATATAAAATCCGTTACTGAAGCGTGCCAAAAGCGGACTAAACGGCCCATCTGAACACACCCCATGAGTCATTTCCCCACAGCTCTTTTTCTTCTGGTTTTGTGGATGAAGTGCTGGATGGTATTCTTTCGATACCAGATTTGGGCCAGGATGGACTTGCAACTCAAGGGTTTATTTGCTACCAAGTCTTCTTCTAAGAGAAGTATCTGTGATGAACGCAGTGTTTTGGGACACAAGGTTAACATACTAAAGCCACTCTGTAAAATCTAGTGGCTTTCCGTTTGTAAATATATTAGGGCTTTTCTGAAAGAAGACTAATTAATTCTGTTCTAAAATTCAATGGGAAAATACCATCATTTCTACCTTCAGTACCCTTTCACAGATCTCAAGGAGAAGAACAAAATGGATCTGAGTAAACTATAAATGCAAAAGTTAGTTTTAAAGACCTTAGCTATCTATCACCATGAAGAGGACTCAATAAGGTTAAATAACTTTTGAAGCACTTCAGAGCACAATCGGGGATTCTGCACTCCTGAGAACATGCCCTTGATGCCTCTTTCCTTCTTTGGCATTCTGGGATACTTCAGCACAAGCCAGTACCCAGCAGTTCCAGTATAACAGAGTTATGTAGTACTATTGACATTCAAATGGAAATTTTACCAAAACTGAAGAACACAGATTAAAGAATGACAGCAATTTCCATAACACAGCCATCTATTGCTTCTTTTGAGCAATTACAAAGAAGTATTACTCTACAGTCTTCAATAATAGCTTGCATGTAGTGGAGATTTTCTAGCTACATTACAAGCAAGCATTAAAACATTCTGGGTGACCTGATTCAGTTGAAGTCTAAAGATACTTCAAATCTTCTCAGATGAAAAAACCTGACTTGCACTATATGTGTATGACCAAGAATCCTATGCATTATACTGGAGTCAGTCCCCACTTTATTCCCTGGAGCTTATGAAAAAACCTGACTTGCACTATATGTGTATGACCAAGAACCCTATGCATTCTACTAGAGTCAGTCCCCACTTTATTCCCAGATATTAATGCCCATTCCATAAATCATGCAGTGTTCTTGATTCCTTGCCAACCAGAAGTGCAAACAGCATGCCAAAACAGCAGGTGAGAAGACATAAGTGCAGAGGATACTAAATCCAACCCACTGGCTCAAACAGAGACATACTCTTGGAAGGCTTTTAAGAATCAATACCAAAAACAAAACACCCCTCCAGCAGGAGCATCCCAATGGAAATGGATGCCGCAACAGGGCCAGAGCTCAAGAATGGCAGCGGTTACCCGAGAGCTCCCACTTTGGCTACCGGCTCTGCCAACCCACCTTGAGAAGAATGGAGGGCGGCAGCTGGTTGATGTCCGGGGAAGGCGGCTGGGGCTCTGGACAACAGTCGCCAGGGTTTTCGGGGGGCTCCTCGCAGTCCGGCTCGCGGGACTCCTGCTTCTCCCTCCCGCCGAGCTCAGGGAGCTGCGAGGCGGACTCCGACTGCGCCACCCCCCTCCCGCCCCCGGTCTCCCCGCCCGGGTCTTTCGGCGAGGCTTCGAGCTGGGCGCAGTCCGAGGCGCAGGGCAGGGGGCAGAGGTGCGACTCGGGCAAGGCGCCCTGCTGGCAGCCGGCGGCCTCAGGGGGCGGCGAGGGACTCTCGGCTCCCACCCCGGTCGGGCCAGGGGCGCAGCGGGGCTGCTTGCAGGGAGGGCAGGCGGGCAAGCCGACTCCTTTGCGCTTGCACACCATCTCCGCGCTGGCCTCGCCAGTCTGCAGCGCGGGCGCCAAGAAGCCCCGCGGAGGAGGCGGCGGCGGCGGCGAAGGGAACAGCAGGTCGGAGAGCAGCAAGCGGCGGCAGCGGCGACTCCGCGCTTCCCAAGCGGCGGCGGCCAAGGGCGACAGGCGCAGAAGACGGCGAGCGGCGCGCTCCTCCGGGGCCTTCAGAGAAGCGTACGGCGGCGGCTCTTGGCGGGAGGGCGGGCTGGCGCTGTGGACGAGGAAGCAGAGCATGCAGGGCCCGCGCAGGAAGCAGCTCCGGCTCCGCGGCGGCGGCACCACCTTCCCCCTCAGGGGGCGACTGCGCCGGCGGCTCCTATCCGCGTTCAGGTTGGTTCCCTTCCGCGAGAAAAAGTGGCCCATATAGGAACCAGAGCCGCCGCCCGGCTGGAGCCTCCCCCGGCGGCGTCAGCGGCTCCTCAAAGCATGACACACACACACACACCCCTTCCCAGACCCGCCGGTCGGTAAGAGGACCGGCGACCACAACACGGCAGGCTTCTTCCGGCACTCTAAAGCAACCGGAACTTCCGCCACGGCTTCCATGATCCTCCCAAAGAGAAGCTTTAAAAAAACCGCACAAGGAGGTATAAGAGGAGTTCCAAGTAAGTTTCACTTCCGGCTACCGTTAGGACCGTCCATGTGCGGGGCAGGGGAAGGTTCAAGTAGGTAGGAAATGGAAATGAAACAAGGTGGGGTGAAACTGAGAGGCTCCCTTTGATTGCCAAGTGGGGCTGCCCCTCCCCCCAAGTGGAATTCGTTAATAGGAAAAGATGCAATCAATATAGAAGTTTAAAAGTGTCATTCAGGGAATGAGTGCTGAACAAGCAAGTGCTACACAGAACCATTTCAAACAGAATTAAAAGCAACCTTCGGTCCATGTTCCTTCAGGGTCTATGGTTTGTGCACAAGAGACAGGTTGCAATTGACCAGCAGGCTCCTTTCCAGAAAATCTATGCTGGAATAAAATCTTGGCAGCGTTCTGTCACTAGAGTCTAGTTTATCTTTCCTGCAAACATCTTTCTGGGGTTGCCAGCTCTGGATTGGGAAATACCTGGAGATTTGGGGGATGGATCTTCTTGGTGATGGCAGGGTTTGGGGAGGGGAGGGGAGGGGAGGGGGGAACCTCAGCCGGTTATGATCCCCTGGAGTCCATCCTCGAAAGCAGCCATTTTCTCCAGGGGAACTGGTCTTGGTCGTCTGGAGAGCAATTGTATTAGCAGCAGTCGACCTTCAAGTACTACCTGGAGATTGGCAACCCTGCCCCTTTCATTATGTGGCCGGGTACACTCTTCATTCTGTCGATGAGGTTCCATTTACTGGGACCCAGTTATAGTCTTCTTTTTTTCCTCCAGAGGGGCAGCCGTTTTACTGTGGTGGGTGAACATATCCACAAACCGTCCGAGCTGCGGGTTTTGGGGGGATTGCAAAGGCCCTTCTTGAATCCTTATGCATGATTGTTTCAGAAACATTGCAGCCAGCGAAAGGGAGAACCGTCCGTGTTTACTGTAGTTGAGCTTCTAAAGTTGATGCACCTTGAGGACTCCGCACGCTGCAGCTGGGAACCGAATGTGTGATCAATTACTACTAAGACGGTAGCCCTTGGATCTTCTCAAAGAGTAACCAGGGCAACGAGGAGCCGGCGTTCGTCACTAAGCAATGGGGCCAATTCTGTCGCCATAGGCTACGGCGGTGCTGCCCCGCTCAGACGCGGCAGAGGAACTGTGCCCTCCTCGGTCTTCTGACTAAATGGAAGCGAATTTCACCTCGATTCTTCATTTTCCCAGAAAAGCTCTATCACCCTCCCTGCACTTCTCAGCTGCTGTAAGGGACCTGAAATATAATTTTTGGAAAATAAAGGGCATTTGACAAACATACACAGGACAGAGATAACAAAGCAGGACTTTTGCCACACACTTATACAGCAATCCTAAGAAGAGATACAGCCTTCTAAATGCATTGAAGTCAATGAGTCTAGAAGGGTGTAACTCTGCTTAGAACTCCACTGTCCTTGTAGCAAAAACTGTAATGGTCTACTATCAAGTGCATACAATTTATCAGTGGGTTCTAGATTTTATTTCAATTGGCTTAGACTGGAGTAACTCTCCTATCAGAGAATGGGAAGGGCCAAAGGAAAAGTTCACACAAAACTTGCTGAAGAATAACCAGGAAAAACAGTTTTATTGCAACAAGAGTTCTCGAAGGCCGGGGGGGGGGGGCTAAAGGCACAATTTGAAACAATGGATATTGTCTAAAGAAGCCAATGTGGCTGCATAAAATAATAAATAAGTCGCTCAGACTTGTATCTGGAAAGCTCAGAAAAAGCTGGGACTGGCCTGGGAGGCTGAGAACAACAAAAAGGATTTCTCCAGATATGATCCAAGAAAAACGAAATGGCAGGCCTGTTTGCTCAGTGAGAATGGTAAAATGTTAACAGATTACCAAGAAGGCAGAATTTCTCAGCTGACATTGTCCATCAGTCTTCCACCAACGAGGAAACTTCATGCAACCTAGCAAAAGTATTGTGAATGGTGAAGGGACAGGATTGCAGCTCAAGACTTTAAGGAGCTGGTTAGTGAAAAGTTAACTACCTTAAATGAATGCAGTTCTTCCAAATTACATCTTAAGATAATTAACAAAATGCTGGAATGCTCTGAATCTTTGTCTATCGCCTTTAAAAAATCTTGAAGGACCAAATATACCAATATTCAAATGGGAGGATTCAGGAAACAATTAGAATATAAAGTGATCAGTCTGAAAGCATCTTCAAAACAATCCACTGATCAGTAGAAGCCAGCATGTCAACAAGAAATCCTGCCATTTCAAACTTTTTTGCATTTTTAAAATGAGGTAATTAACACAGCCGATTGTGGGAATACTGTGGTTATAATATATCCCTTGATTTCAGCAAGGCATTTGATGAAGTCCACATTAAGATTGTTGCTTTGTTGTTCAGTCGCACAGTCGAGTCCGACTCTTCGCAACCCCATGGACCAGATAACGCCAGGCCTTCCTGTATTCCGCCGTCCTCTGAAGTTTGCTCGATTTCATGTTCGTTGCATCTATGACACTGTCTAACCATCTCATCCTTTGCCGTCCCCGTCTTCTTTGACCTTCAATCTTTCCCAGCATTAGGGTCTTCTCCAGTGAGTGCTCCCTTCTCATTTGGTGGCCAAATTTTGTTTATTTGTTGCTAGCAAACTGTTTAAATGTAGCCTGGACAGTGGTACCATCTGGTGGATTCACTGATGTCTGGAAAAGTTTACTCAAAGAGTGCTTATCAATGGTAGTTAATCCTATAACAGGTTAAGCCATGCCTGGTTTACAGAGAAGACTTGAAATGGTTACCTGAGTCACTCAAGAAGCATAACCTGGAAACTATGCCTTAGGATTTAACTGTGTAGCTAGGACCTTAACTGGTAGCTTCTTTGTTTTCTTTCTTTCTTTCTTTGTTTTCTTTCTTTCTTCTTTGTTTTCTTTCTTTAATAAATAAATACTTGTACTATATCTAGTTGTTCTGTACTTCAGAAGTTGCAATCTACAGCCAGTACCTTAGACTTTAAGTGTCCACCTACTGGTAAATTGTTAATAGAAATTCATTCTGCAAGTGTCCCACCTTGCAGGGTCAACTTTCTTTTTAATTCCGAGAAAGATTGAGAGTCTGCCCACTGACTTCTGATCGTAAGGATATTAACACAGGCTGGTGGCAGGTTTGTTGTGTAATCTTGAGCTCTGCCCTTCATACCAAGGATCCCCTGGACTGGGAATTATTGACAGAAAGTAACAAGATTAATTTCAAAAGAGAGAAAGGTATTTAGGCAGGAAAAAAAGTCAAACGCACAAATTCAGTTTGGGTGACATCTGGCTTTGCAACAATACATATGAAAAGAATCTCATAACTGAAGTCTACCACAAGCAGATCATGAGTCACTAGTGTGATATGGCTCCCCCCCCCCCTCCCTTGCTCTCAGTGGCCCTGCTTCTGGGAAATTTTGCTGGCGACTCAAGGCACCTACCCCATAGTATATGCCTATGAATACAGTTATACCATCTGAAAACAGATTCTTATGAAGGTTATAGAGATAGTTTTTCGCGGCCTAAAAAACTAGTTGCTAGTTGCGTTAAAAAAATCTGGACCATTGTGACAGCCTCTGGTCCTTTCCAATGAAAATCTGAAAGATCTGTGTTGGGTTAACTTGAGCTGTGGATAATGAAGTTTCTTGTGTGAACAGGCACCATGGCTTGTAAGTTAACTGTTTTACCAGTAGATGACAGCATTGTTTCAGGCAAAGAACTCTGCAAAGACATGGATTGTGGAAGAAAGCAAGGAGAAACATAAGCAATCAAGAAGCCCTCCCCTGAAACTCTTCCATTTTTATAATTTTATTCTAAGCAGTCACTTGTTTATAGCATTGCACATCTACTTAACTGTAGAATGTGTAGAACAGTACTGAAGATCATGTACTAAAACCAGATCCAAGATAACATTATTCTAAGTGCTAAGACCATGAAAATTGCCAGCCTGTATCCTAGAATATTTTTTTAATACATTCTATTCTTTATATTTTTGTACAGGAAAACAACTAGTGACTATGGTGCAATGCAATGATGCTTAGAAGTGTCTGAAAATTGTCTCAGAACAGCACCCGGTTTTAACAATGGGCAGACAGAATTCACCATAAGGAAAAGTCAAGGCTAAAAATAACTGCAGAACTATTAGAAAGAAGGTAATACAAGATTACAACAAAGATCCAGAAAGAGAACATATATGCCATATATAATAGGGAAAGGCAACCGGCAAGCTCCAAAGTAAAGATTTGGCTCGCTGATGTATATTTTGCAAAGCCCATCAATGTGCATTATACTTTTGATTGCACTGGTTTTAATTGTGCAGATTACCTTGACTCTCAGTGAGAAAGGCAGACTGTAAATGAAATACAAAGTGAATAGGTCATAAAGTATAGGTGAGTGTTTATGTGCAATAGAAAAGCAACTAGGTTCTGCATCTGATCCTCACTGTTTTGATTTTTTTGGCTTCTATGCAATTGGATTACCTGCAATAAATGTACAACATATAGGGTACAAGCCTAAAATGGTCTAGTCAGAAGTCCTATTTTATTCCAAGGGGCTTGCTCTCAGGAATGCGTTCTACAGCTGTAGTTATGTCCTGAACCCTTGAGACCTAGCTGTTTATGCAGTTACACCAATAGCAGTTACTCTGATACCACACACTCATATAAAAGAGAACAGTTGGTTCCATTTAAGTTTTGTTGTGATCATCAGGCTCATCACTTGCTCATAGGTAAACACAGATGTGCTTGTCTGGATTGTAGGCAACGTGCTATGCATTTGGAAGGGCCAAATCTGTAACCAGGGTCTCAATAGGCTCAATCAGTGGGAGGGCTGTGGGTGGGGAT